CTCAGGCAATCCACTCGCCTCAGCCTCCCAAAGGCGCGGGATTACAGGCTGAGCCACCGAGCCCGGCTATTGAGGGCTTTCTATGTGCCTACCCTGGGCTACTTCTTTTAGGGTCATAGCTCATAAGCTCCATGGCAGCCACAGAGGGAAGGGACATTTTTTTCCAGAGGGAAAATGTGTCCCAAGTCCCATAGCTGCTAAGCGATGGAGCTAGGATCTCAAAACTCAGGCTGGGCTGCATCCAAGAATTGCTCTTCCATTCCAGCCCACGACTCCTTTGTGTCTTCCAGAGCTGACAGCAGACTGGTTTGGTCCACAGTGACTTGCTGAGGGCCGGTTTTGGGCCCAGAGGGACCCCACCCCGGCCCCTCCCCTCCTTGCCTTCTTCTCTCCAGCTCTCGCTTCCGGGACTTTGACTTCTTCCACCCTGTTCTGCTCCAGGTGACACAGGCCCTTCCACAGTGAACTGAGGTTTCACGGCCCAGCAGAGACATAAAACCTGAGCCAGGAAGTCTAGAACCCGAGAGGCAGACGAGCTCTGGCCTAGCCAGGGAGAGCCGGGGCCAGGTCCCAGCACCTCTGGGATAGTCGAGAGGGAGAGTGCTCTGGACGTCCCTAGAGCACAGTGCTTATTTTGCAGATAAGGAGTCACCCAGGCTGAACAGGGCCAGGAATCTGCCCCCTCCCCGTCTGGCCCCCTGCCTCTATTTATAACCCACCCGTTCCTCCCCAAGCCCACTGGGCTCCTGTATCTCTGGAATGTTGAGTAAAGGTCACAAGACTATGTGTGTGTTCATAGAATGATTGTCCCTTGTGGTGACAATGCTGTCTGGGCTGTGCTTTAAAATAACAGATTGAACCAGATATTTCCAGTTGATTTGCGATCCCTGGCAGCGTGGGAAGCTGCGTTAACTCTTTCACCGTTGCCAGTTGCAGGAGGAATTGGAGGTGAAGGCCTTTAAAGAGAAGGTGGCTTCCAAAACATTATCCTTTTGGACGGAACTCATTGCTGGGAATGTAGACTGGGCGGACTTTTGAGAATTTCACTGATTGAAAAGAGCCAGAAATAGACAAGCAGAGCCTCATCTGAGCGAGTATAGCACCCAGTCCAGGAGATCTGGAGTCTGAGACGCATGGAAGAATCTGGAGCGAAAGTCACAACGAGAGTCATGTATCAATTGGTTAAAAGTCAACATTTATTGAGTGCCCACTATGTGCAGGGAGACAAGGAAGCATGATCTTCATCCTCAAAGCATTTTCCAGCACAGTGGGAAAGAGGCATGCAGGGCTGCAGAGAGAGTGCATGCGATCATTTGTAAAAGCCCAACGAGTGGTGTCGGGGGTGAACCTTTCATGAGATCTTGTGATGCCCCTAGGACGTGGCAGGTCATGGCCATATGTGTGGGGTATGTGGATAAAATGCCTGTTTGGAGGGGCGAAAACAAGCAGACAGCGATGCTCACAGGAATGGGGTGTGCAAAAGCCACGTTTTGCGTGCCGAGAAGCACCTGTGCTGCTGAGGAAGTCAGGGAAGGCTTCTCAGAGGAGAGAGCCCCTGAGCTAAGTCTTCAAAGTTGAGAAGGTATTTACCGAGCTGAGTTCAGAGGCTGCGGGAGTGAGGTCTGAGGTGAGATGAGAGAAACTTCTAGAAGGAGGTATTGCTAGATCTGATGATTGAAGGATGAGTAGGATTCAGAAAGCAGGAGGGGAGGGCATTCCTGGTGAGGACTTAGTGTGAACACACTGGTTATTTATCACTGTGTACCAAATCTTTGTGGCTTAAAGCAACAAAGATGTATTACTTTCCAATTATTCTGTGGGTCAGGGACTCGGGCAGGGCTTGGCTCAGCGGTTCTTCTGCTCTATGTGGCGTCAGTTTGAATCACCCACTCAGCTGCATCCAGCTGGCGGCTGGAGGGTCCAAGACGACTCGGTCATGTCTGGTGCCTCACGGCTCTTGCATGTGGCTTCTCTCTCCAGGTGGACACCTTGGGCTTCCTTACAACATGGTGGGCTCAAGTAGTCTCTGTACAGCAGCTGGATCAGAAAGGGAAAGCTGAGCCGCTGGGCCTCCTACAGGCTAGGCCCAAGGGCTGGAGTGGTGTCACTTCTCCCATATTCCATTGGTCAAAGCAGGTCAACTCTTGGAGGGGGGTGTGGATGATATGTGTGGGGAGGGAAGGGGAATGATGGGAGTTGTCATTTACCATAGTGAGCAGGAGTTCAGAGGCAAGGCTGTGTAACATAGGTTTGGCCCAGTAACCAGGTTGACAAACCGGGGACGAAAACTCTGGTGTTTCTACTCAGCCCATTGCTTTGGTCACAGATTCTGTCATTTTCTTTTTTTCTTTTTTTCTTTTTTTGAGTTGGAGTCTCACTCTGTCGCCCAGACTGGAGTGCAGTGGCCACTCCCGGCCACCGCAGCCTCGACCCGCTGGGCTCCGGCGATCCTTCCACCTCAGCCTTCCAAGTAGCTGGAACTACAGGCGCGCGCTACCACGCCCGGCTAATTTTTTGATTTATTGTAGAGATGAGGTCTCGCTGCCCAGGCGGGTCTCGAACCCGCGGGCTCAGGCAATCCACTCGCCTCGGCCTCCCAAGGAGCAGGATTACAGGCTGAGCCACCGAGCCCGGCTGATTCTGTCATTTTATTCGGAAGCATCACTAAGGGAGGGCTGAAGGGCCCAGAAGGCCACCGATGGGAGAGGACAAGGGTTTTCAGCTTGATGCTCAAATAGATTCATGTCTCTTTCATGTTTCCTCCGTGAGTGCAGGAGTTCTTCTGTGGGACCTGAGAGGGATTCTTGAAATTGTATCAAATGTTTGATTTTTTTTTTTTTTTTGGACAACATTGTCCAAGGCTTTCTTCTAAGACTTGGAGGGGTACCTAACTTACAAAAGATAAAGAGCCACTGTGTTAGTCTATCACTTTCTCACCTCCTGCTCAATCAAGCGGGTGTGATGTCTGTCTTCTGATGCATCCACTCTGAACCATGCATTCATATATTCATTTACCAGATATTTACTGAGCCATGTCTTACTGCAGAAGTTTCAGCCCTCTTGGATCCGACATTCCAGTAGAGAAGACAGATGATATACAGCCATGCAAGGGAAGATCTGTTTTCAGTGAGCGATCGGTGCCATGAGGAGACATAAAACAGAGCGAGGCACTAGGGAATGTGGGGCAGGGATCTGTTTCAGCTGAACGGTCAGAGAAGGCTGCTCCACGCGGGCACAGGGAACAGCATGTTCAAAGAAGTGAGTTTGCCCTTGAGAAAAACTCGGGACGCAAGTGTGGCCAAGGAGATCGGGTGGGCAGAAGGTCACTGACAATGAAGTCAGAGGGAGAGTAGGAATCAGATCATGTGGAGCTTATAGGCTGTGATAAAGAAGTTACATGTTAAGTTCCATGAGAAACTACTGGAGGATTTTGAGTGGGAAAATGATTATTGCCCAGGTTTGAAATCCGAACTTATCCACACTAGCTCTGTGACTTTATTTATTTATTTATTTGTTTGTTTGAGTC